AATCTTGCCTCAAAACGTCAACAAATTGAGAATTATTTGCAAGCTTTTACATAAATTGTGATTATTATTGTATTACTATTGATTATGTATCGTTATGATCAAATGCAGAATACATAAAGCATCACCTGCACTGTTATATATATATATATATATATATGTATATATATATATATTTGTATTTCCCTAAAGGACCACTATTGCCAGGAATAGATAATATACAAAATAAGATGATTGTAGTAGAATTGGAAGGTCTTTAAAAAATACAATCTAAAATTTAAAAACACCTCTTCTAATGCGTTTGTGGAATCCTCTACCTACCCAGCCCTTTACCAGCTAGGAGCATCTTATCTTCCATCTTATTCAGTAATTTTACTTGTTTAACCTCTTCACGACAAGGGTTGTTTTAAACCTTAAAGTGATACCATAGGCACAAAAAACTGGACTAGATTTATTTTCGTCAAAGTGGTTATTGTGCCCGGATTCCCTTGGCACCATTTCACACTTCAGTTTCAAGCCATTTTCAATCAATTTAATTATTAATGAAGAATCCCATCAGCCCTGTTACATGATTCCTGGCTGGAGGTAAGATTACATGTGCACTTCAGGGGTTAATTCTAACATACACTAACATATAACCTTTTCATGAATAAGCATAAATAAACACAGAATAAATAATAAAAACACACAGACTCAGATATGTGATTAAAAGGCCATGGTCTTTTATTTAGTTTATAACATATTACAAACCATAACTTATTCACTTTTAAAATATATACCTTCATGCACCCAGCGCTCAGCTAAGCCACCACCACATCCCCTTCCCCATCTTGTGTTTTAATACCTAAGTGTCTACACATCAGAGCACAGCGCAGGAGGGGGTTCATAAACTGACACTACTACTATTTGATACTCGTGAAAGTTCTCCTGGGGCTGCGGACCCTAGCTATAGTAAACATAATTGACCTGTCTAGATGTAAAAAGTCAGTTTTATCTCTGTTAGCTCACAAAACTGTTTTCTCTTGTTTAATTTACAAAAATGGGCACGATAAGCATGTTACTTATGCAAAACCTTGACTTTATGATTGTAACCTGTAATCTGTAACCAATTTCAAATGCTTGAATCATACTCCCGCAAAAATAAAAAATAAAAATAAATAAATAACAAATATATATATATATGTATATATATATATACATATATATATATATATATATATATATATATATATATATATATATATATATATATATATATATATATATATATATATATATATATATATATATACCTTATAACCAAACATCTCTGGTCTTTAAATCCCCAGAGATTTTAACACATGAATTACCAGAATGCCTATTAGCCAGAACTTATATAACCAAATATATAAACAAATATATAACCAAACTCAGCTAGTCCACCCCTGTTTAAAATAGGTAGTTGACCTCAACCCGAGAGTGGGGGGAGGGCGGGGAACAGGTCCAATAAAAATTTTTTTTTACCTTTTTTTATCGCCAGCTGTTACCTCAGGGCGCTTTATATATCATATTTTCCCACCTTACCTTGCCCTCGTGGACAAGCGCTTCAATCTGAGCGCTGTCTGCACGGACCTCTGTACTATATGACCGCGAGGGCATAACAGACTGTTGCTGATGCCCTCGCGACTCACCAGCAGCGTGCGGAAAAATTCCTCCACTGCTAACCCCGCAGCACACATGTGTACATGGTCGATTGACCATGTATTGTCTTGTGCACAGCAGGGGTTAATTCTAACATACACTAACATATAACCTTTTCATGAATAAACATAAATAAACACCAAATAAATAATACAAACACAGAGACTCAGATATGTGATGAAAAAGGCTGTGGTCTTTTATTTAGTTTATAACACATTACAAACCATAACATTTATTTTTAAAATAGAAACATAGAATATGACGGCAGATAAGAACCATTCGGCCCATCTAGTCTGCCCAATTTTCTAAATACTTTCATTAGTCCCTGGCCTTATCTTATAGTTAGGATAGCCTTATGCCTATCCAACGCATGCTTAAACTCCTTTACTGTGTTAACCTCTACCACTTCAGCTGGAAGGCTATTCCATGCACCCACTACCCTCTCAGTAAAGTAATACTTCCTGATATTATTTTTAAACCTTTGTCCCTCTAATTTAAGACTATGTCCTCTTGTTGTGGTAGTTTTTCTTCTTTTAAATATAGTCTCCTCCTTTACTGTGTTGATTCCTTTATATATTTAAATGTTTCTATCATATCCCCCCTGTCTCGTCTTTCCTCCAAGCTATACATGTTAAGATCCTTTAACCTTTCCTGGTAAGTTTTATCCCGCAATCCATGAACCAGTTTAGTAGCCCTTCTCTGAACCCTCTCTAAGGTATCAATATCCTTCTGAAGATACGGTCTCCAGTACTGTGTACAATACTGCAAGTGAGGTCTCACCAGTGTTCTGTATAATGGCATGAGCACTTCCCTCTTTCTACTGCTAATACCTCTCCCTATACAACCAAGCATTCTGCTAGCATTTCCTGCTGCTCTATTACATTGTCTGCCTACCTTTAAGTCATCAGAAATAATCACCCCTAAATCCCTTTCCTCATATGTTGAGGTTAGGACTCTATCAAATATTCTGTACTCTGCCCTTGGGTTTTTACGTCCAAGATGCATTATCTTGCACTTATCCACATTAAATGTCAGTTGCCACAATTCTGACCATTTTTCTAGTTTACCTAAATCATTTGTCATTTGGCTTATCCCTCCTGGAACATCAACCCTGTTACATATCTTAGTATCATCAGGTATGTCATACCTTACCATCAAGACCTACTGCAATATCACTAATAAAAATATTAAAGAGAATGAGTCCAAGTACAGATCCCTGAGGCACCCCACTGGTGACAAGTCCAAGCTTCGAATATATTCCATTAACTACAACCCTCTGTTGCCTGTCACTCAGCCACTGCCTTACCCATTCAACAATATTGGAATCCAAACTTAAAGATTGCAGTTTATTGATAAGCCTTCTATGTGCAACAGTGTCAAAAGCCTTACTGAAATCTAGGTAAGCAATGTCTACTGCACCACCCTGATCTATAATTTTAGTTACCCAATCAAAAAAATCAATAAGATTAGTTTGGCATGATCTCCCTGAAGTAAACCCATGTTGTCTCTGATCTTGAAATCCATGTGTTTTTAGATGTTCATCAATCCTATCCTTTAACATGGTTTCCATCACTTTCCCCACTACTGAAGTAAGGCTTACTGGCCTATAGTTGCCCGACTCCTCCCTATTACCTTTCTTGTGAATGGGCACAACATTCGCTAACTTCAAATCTTCTGGGACTACTCCTGTTAACAATGATTGGTTAAATAAATCTGTTAATGGTTTTGCTAGTACACCACTAAGCTCTTTTAATAGCTTTGGGTGTATTCCATCAGGTCCCATTGACTTATTTGTCTTTACTTTTGACAGTTGAAATAGAACCTCTTCCTCTGTAAACTCACGTGTAATAAATGACTCATTTATCCTTTTTCTCAACTGAGGTCCCTTTCCTTCATTTTCATCTGTAAATACAGAACAAAAATATTCATTGAGGCAGTCAGCTAGACCTTTATCCTCTTCTACATACCTTCCTTCTTTTGTTTTTAATCTAACTAATCCTTGTTTTACTTTTCTTTTCTCATTTATGTATCTAAAAAATGTTTTATCCCCCTTTTTTACTGACTGTGCTATTTTCTCTTCTGTGTGTGATTTGGAAGCTCTTATAACTTGCTTAGCCTCTTTCTGCCTAATCTTATAGATCATTTTGTCTTCCTCACTCTGGGTTTTTTTATAATTCCTAAATGCTAACTTTTTGTTTTTAACTATTTTGGCCACATCTGCGGAGTACCACAGTGGTTTCTTGAATTTTTTGCTTTTACTGACAAGCCTAATGCAATTTTCTGTTGCCTTCAATAGTGCAACTTTTAAATAATCCCATTTCTCTTGGACTCCATTTAAATTGCTCCAGTCTGATAATGACTCCTCTACCCATATTCTAATTTTAGAAAAGTCTGTTTTTCTAAAGTCTAAAACTTTTGTTTTTGTGTGGTGTGACTCAGTCACTGTTCTTATATTAAACCACACTGACTGATGATCACTGGATCCTAAACTTTCACCTACAGTAATATCTGATATCAAATCTCCATTTGTTAAAAACACTAAATCTAGTATGGCCTCTTTACGAGTTGGATCCTCAACAACTTGTTTTAGAGACAATCCCAGTAGGGAGTTTAGAATATGTGTGCTCCTGGCGCAAGTAGTTAATTTTGTTTTCCAATTTACATCAGGAAGATTAAAGTCACCCATGATGATAACTTCCCCCTTCATTGTCATTTTAGCTATTTCTTCAACTAGTAGATTATCTAACTCTTCAATTTGTCCTGGGGGCCTATAAATCACACCTACACGAGTTACTGTGTGATTACCAAATTCTAACGTAGCCCAAACGGACTCTATGTTTGCCTCACTAACTTTTATTAGGCTAGATTTTATGCTATCCTTCACACAAAATATATAACTTGTAACCAAACATCTCCGGTCTTTAAGCCCCCACAGATTTTAACACGTGAATTACCAGAGTTCCGCCCTATCAGCCAGAACTAAAACGAATATATAACCAAACTCAGCTAGTCCACCCCACCTTTAAAATAGGCAGATGACCTCAACCCAACCAACTGCAGCATTCAACTGATGCTGCAGCCCACCCCATCAGACCACGGTCTTATCAATCTTACACTGCAAATCAATTTTGAAAATGTCCAACCGACTTCAGACAAATGAATACCATCCTTGAAGAACAAACCTTCACAATTACGCTCAATGTCAGTATGGTGAAAAATAAAACCACTGATTGATGACATAAATTTCTCCATGGCCCTATTCAGCTTGCTCCTAACTCTTTCTAAAGCTTTAACACTCACATTGCACAACCATGCCATCCTAGGGACTATCTCTGACCAAAATTATTAGGGTTCTGGGAACATCCTTCTAATTTGCCCAATATTTTCTTTTTTAATAGGTAAAACAAAACTACTGACTTGATTCTACCAACATCATTACCTCCGTAATGAAAAATAATAACATGCGGCCATGGAAATTCATTATAACATTCTTGTAACACATTAAGAACATCTCCCTTATTAAACCTCTTACACCAACCCAAAAATATTTAAACAGTCTCATCAGCATAAGTCATCATATTCACCAGACATTACGGTCTAACATAAATTTTGTATATGTTTAAGGACCAACACCCCACTTTCTCAACCAACTCATTCAACAAACCTTGTGATACTGCCTCTATTGCAGCACCTAGCTGAAATGAATGAGATGCAGTGGCATACTAAAGGGGGGGGGCGGGGAGGGTGGTCCAACCCCGGGTAACACAAGGTAGGGTGGTGCCACAAGGGCTGGCCAGGGTTGGGGTTGTGTGAGCTGTGTGGCTGCACAGAGCGCCATGGCAGTAGGGGCCCCGGGCAGCCGACACAGGTTACATGCAGGAGCAGGAGAACTTCTCAGACTGTTGGGGCGGAGCCAAATCTAATATGGTGCGGAGCCAAATCAGCAGTGGGGGCGGAGCTAAAGGCGGCCTCCACCCACTGCAGCTACTGCTGCACATAGAGGGGAAGCAGGAAGGAGTCCCAGCTTCCCGAACAACTACTAACCAAGGACTTCAGTGACTCCATTCCTTCTCCAGTAAGTGAGAGTGTGTACTGTGTGTGTGTGTAACTGTGATTGTGTCTGTCTGTGACTGTGTGTGTGACTGCCTGTGACTGTATGTGTCACTATGTGTGTGTGACTGTGTGTGACTGTCTTCCTTTGACTGTATGTGTAACTGTCTGCCTGTGACTGTGTGTGTCTGTGACTGTCTGCCTGTGACTGTGTGTGTGACAATCTGCGTGTGACTGTGTATGCGACTATTTGTGTGATTGTCTGCCTGTGACTGTGTGTGACTGTCTGCCTGTGATGGACAGTGTGTTTGACTGTCTGCCTGTGACTACGTAAACGACTGTCTGTGTGTGACTGCCTTTGACTGGGTGTAACTGTCTATCTGTGACTGTTTGTGTGACTGTCTGCCTGTAATTGTGTGTGACTGTCTGCCTGCCTGTGCCTGCATGTGTGACTGTTTGCCTGTGCCAGTGTGTGACTGTACCTGTGACTGTCTGCCTGTAACTCTGTGTGTGACTGTATGCCTGTAACTGTGTGTGTGTGACTGTCTGCTAGTAACTGTGTAATGCTGCCTGTAACTGTTACAGTCTGCCTGTATTTGTGCGTGCAACTGTCTGTAACTATGTGTGTGTAACTGTCTGTGACTGACTGCCTGTAACTGTGTGTTTGACTTTGTGTGAGTGACTATGTGCCTGGTAATGTGTGCAAGTGGCTGTATTTGACAGTATATGTGTATAACTGTGTGCATCTGACTGTGTCTGACTGTCTTCGCTCTGCAGTAAGCCGGCAGCTTTGATATGACGTCATTCCGGCATCTGCATCATTACAGTGCATGCGAGGGACCTGTGCAGGAAGAGCACAGAGATCCCAGCAGCAACCACTGACCACCAGCCCTCCACTCCAGCCCTCCCAGAGCAAAGTAGGAAGGTTGGGTGGACCTCTTATTAAATGTGTGTACCGTATTTTTCGCTCCATAAGACGCACCTCACCATAAAATGCACCTAGTTTTTAGAGGAGGAAACCCAGAAAAATATTTTTTTTTAAGGAATTTTTTGTTCCTTACCACCCACTCCTGTCCCATAATGATCTTTAACCCCCCTCCCCTGTCCCATAGTTATCTTTAAACCCCCCCTCCCTTGTCCCATAGTTATTTTAACCCCCCTTTCCTCTGTCCCATATTGATTGTTAACCCCTCCTCCCCTTGTCCAATAGTGTTCTCATCCCATTGTGTCCCCCCTCCCCTTGTCCCATAGTGTCCCACCCTCTCCTTGTCCCATAGTGTCCCCCCTTCCCTTGTCCCATAGTGTCCCCCCTTGTCCCATAGTGTCCCACCCTCTCCTTGTCCCATTGTGTCCCCCTCCCCTTGTCCCATGGTGTCCCACCCTCTCCTTGTCCCATGGTTTCATCCCTCCCCTTGTTTCCATGTGTCCCCCCTCCCCTTGTTCCATAGAGTCCCCCCTTCCCTTGTCCCATAGTGTCCCCCACCCTCCTCTTGTCCCATAATTACTTACCTGTCTTGTAGCGTGGGCCGGCTTCACAACGCGCTCCGCGGTACAGGAACTTCAATTTCAGGTTCCGGTTTCCGGCGGGACTGAAAGGAAGTGTGCACACTGCCGGCCCACGCTACAAGACAGGTAAGTAAAGCTTCACATTCGCTCCATAAGACGCACAGACATTTCCCCTCACTTTTGAGGGGAAAAAAAGTGCGTCTTATGGAGCGAAAAATACGGTATGTATGTGATGAGTGTGTGTGTGTACATCTAATGATATGTGTATATGATCAGGGCTGGACTGTGAATGAAAAGCAGCCCTGGAAAAAAAATTCTATACCAGCCCCATAATGCATTGCGCCAGCAGAGTGTGCAGATATGAAAGCGGGAAAAAAAACTATCACTCAAACGTGAAAGAAAGCCCTCATAGGGCTTCAAAATAAACAAAAGAGCAGATGTGTTGTAAGCAGACATGCATTTGCAAATCATCAATGTTTCAGTCCAACTACCTTGACATATTTAGGAAAGTTTCGTAATTGGACTGAAATTGTGAATGTATGTTATTGCACAGTAGTAAAAAAAATGATGTTATCTTGCTTATTTTGAAGTAACAAGAATGTGCTCTTCACTCAGTCAACGCCAATTTAATTCCCATAGGAAAGCATTAGGAGGCAATTGCGCATGGGTGGCAAAACACTGTGCTTCACTGCACCAATCAGCATCTCCTCATAGAGATGCATTGCATCAATGCATCTCTATGGGGAGCGTTCAGCGCCTCCATGCAGAGCATGGAGATGCTCAATGTAGGTGCTGCATACAGTGCAGCACTGGACTAGGCAGCAGCTCTAGTGGCCGTCTGAGTTACTGTCACTAGAGATGTTCTTAGTCAGCAATGTAAACACTGCCTTTTCTCTGAAAAGGTAGCATTTACAGTGCTCAGCATACAGGGACCTACTATAGACACCAGAACCACTACATTAAACTGTAGAAGTTCTGGTGACCATAGTGTCTACGAAGTCTTTCTCTCATCGGTCAACTCTAAATTACAGGGAGAGCAGGAGACCCAAGTGAAGATGCATTTTGTTTGTGTCTTTCTCCCCCATGCCCCTTTCATGTGTCTCTTAGCCCCAGTCCCTTTGTCTCTTTCTCCCCTTCCCCAGCCCTTCTGTTAGTCTTTTTCCCAGGCCGCAGCAATTCTGTGTGTCTTTTTGCCCACTGCTCCTCTGTGTGTCTCATTCTCCCCTTCCCCAGCCATTCTGTGTCTCCTGTTCCCATTTCCAAGCCCCCTCTGTCTCTTTCTCCCCAGACCCCTACATGTCTTTTTACTCCCCTGCCCCTTTATGTGTTTAATTTCACCCTCTCCAGCCTTACATGTGTATCATTACCCACGCCACCCCTCCATGCTTCCAAAATTTATCCCCCCAGACATCCATGTGGCTCATTAGCTCCCTCAGACCCTCCATGTGTCTTATTAGCCCCTCCATATGTTTTATTAGCCACCAGCCCTCCATGTATCTTATTAGCCCCTCCATGTGTATCATTAGCCCCCCATGTGTCCCTATAGTCCCCTTCCAGCCCCCCATGTGTCTCATTCCAACCCCTCCAGCCTTACATGTGCATCATTAGCCCCCCACCCCTCCATGTTTCTCAATCCATCCCCCCAGTCTTCTATGTGTGTTCTATTATCTATTCTCTTTAGCCCTCCATGTGCCTTATTATCTCCCTCAGTCCCTCCATAGGTCCCTATAGCCCCTCCAAGCCCTCCACGCATTCCTATACCCCTATCCTAGCCCTTCATGTGTGCCTATACCCCCTCATAGCCCTTTATGTGTCCCTATACCCCCTCCCAGCCCTTCATGTATCCCTATACCCCCTCCCAGACCTTCATGTGTCCCTGTAGCCCCCTGCCTCCACGTGTCTCATTAGTTTCCCCCTAGCCCCAGGTGTCCCATTAGATCCCCCAGCCCCCAGGTGTCCCATTAGTTCCCAGCCCAGGTGTCCCAATCCCCTAGGGTGTCCCAGTGGTCCCCTCAGCCCCCATGTGTCCCATTAGTTCCCCACAGTCCCATTAATTCTTCCCAGCCCATGTGTTATTGTTCCCGGTCCCGTGGTTTCACTCCCCTAGCTGGATGTCCCAATAGTCCCAGCCCCATGTAGTTTCAGCCCCAGCCCCAGATGTCCCATTAGTTTCCCCCAGCCCCCAGGTGTCCCATTAATTCCCAGCCCCCAGGTGTCCCATTAGTCCCCGCCCCAGCCCCCAGGTGTTCCAACTCTCCCTGTACCTTGCTGTAGCCCGAGCAGGCAGACTGCGTGTGGCAGCTCCTGGTCACTGTACCCAGTCTGACAGGAAGCAGTCGTGTGCTCTCTGTGAGCACTTCCTGTCAGACTGGGTAGGGGAACAGGAGCTCCTCTATCGCGGTCTGCCTGCTCGGCCATGCTACATTCTGTGACCGTCAGGAGGGGAGTGCATCCCCTCCTGCTGGTCACCCTGTTATTGTGCTGTGCAGCCCACAGGCCGGTGCGCCCTAGGAAATTTCTCGGTAGGCCAGTCTGGCCCTCTATGTGATTCTGTATTTGTGTATGTCTGTGCAACTCTGTGGTTAAGTGTGTGTGTAGGTCTGGAATTGTGTGTTTGTCTGATTGTGTATGTGTATATATAAATATTTATATATACATACATATATATATATATATATATATATATATATATATACACATATACACACACACAAACCACAGATGTACACACACACACAGACATACATCTATTGTGTAATTTTGTGTGTATATATATGTGTATGTGTTTAGTAGATAGCTTCCTTATTTGGTGTCCTTAAATATTGCACTCTCACATAAGGATAACAAATAAGTGAATTATCTACTAAACAATTGAAAGATTAAAGTAAAGAAAAGGCCTTTTGTAATTTAGATCTTTTAGCTGTTTAGTAGATGATTCCCTAAATTGGCACCCTTATGTGAGATTTCCATATTTAAAGATACCAAATTAGGGTGCTATTTA